AAATTTCTTGATTAATATTAATAACGAGCTCTTTGATTTCTTAATAGTTCTCTTCAAGAGAAAATTTGAATACAATAACTATTTAATATTTAAAATTAAAATGTACCAACTGTTACAAACTCTAAAAACCATTTTCACTTATTAGCAGGTATATGTATCATGAAAATCAGAGGAATTACGAATCCGTATGAACTTTATATTTCAAGAATGTCAAAATAAGCTGGGTGTGGTGGTGCATGCCTTTAGTGATAATCGAGTTTTATATCTCATTGTTAGAGAAGCATCCCCATAGTTGGCCAACAAGAAGGACATATCAGCTACACTGAGCCACATATGTGTAATTAATGTGAAGACTGAGGTTTGGGGCTGCCTGGGACAACTCTTTGCAGCTGCAGCAGCACCTGCCTCAAGGCCCTGTCTTTATTCCGTGTGCTTCTACCACACAATCAGTACTTAGGATCCATGCCATGTAACCAGAACATCTAAAATATGACATCTCTCCAACTACCTCATAGCCTCCTTACCCACAAAGGTCAGCAGTGTGTTCTTGGGCTGAATTTTTTGCAACTTAGGATAGAGGAGAAAATGGATTTTCACCTAACATTCCCAGTGCCCTCATCTCCTAGGGAGTGTAGCAGGCAGGGCATGCCATTGGATTTTGTTCCCTTCTAGCTACCCTTAGAATACTCTAGAAAAGTTGCTCAAAAGGGAGACACATAGGTTCTGCCCGTAGTGGCTTTCCAAAGGCACATAGTAGCTTGTGGCAAAACTGATACACTCATGGGAGTCCCAGTTCAGAAACACATCTTGTGCTGCTCTCTCTCTCTCTCTCTCTCTCTCTCTCTCTCTCTCTCTCTCTCTCTCATATTTTCAGCCCTTCTCTGTACTGGTTATTTATATTTGTCACTATAGCCAAAACTCTATGGAATTATAAAACAGAAACCTAACCGTTGCCTGTTTCTTAGATTTTTTTTGTTCCCTGACTACCATTTTAAGTTCTGTTTTCTCCAAACAGCTAAGCTTATGGAAAGAGTAATCTATACTTTTCCACACATAAGCCCCAATCATTTTTCCCCAACCACTATAATCTATATTTTGTTGCCCTACCCTATAATCTAAATTTTATTTATTTATTTATTTAAAGACGGGGTCTCACTATGTAGCTCTGGCTGGCCTGGAATTCACTGTGTAGACCAGACTGGGCTTGAACTCACAAAGATCCACTTGCCTCTGTCTCCCAAGTTCTGGTATTAAAGGTCTGCACTATACCACACCTGGATAGATTTTAATAAAACAATACTTATAAAAGTTATACATATCCTTATTGCTATATTTAATGGAGAGTTCACAATCCTTATCAGCATTTGATATGGTTAACTTTATCTCGTTGTTAGACTATTCCCTTCCTTTATCTTCTATAACATTGCATTTTTTTCAAATATTTAATATATATTGGACACCAGATAACCTATGGTAAACTAATAAGGCACAATAATTCCCTCATGGAACATAATTGGAAATATATCACATAATTGTGATTATGTAAGATGGAGAATATTAAGAAAGATACCCAAAGTTAATCTCTGGTCTCCTCAGGCACGTGTACAGGTGAGTGTACCCCTTCCACATACATATACATACACACATAAACTACACACACATACACGGAAAAAAAAAATTGTGATTATGAGAATTCAATAGTTCATGTAGGCTGGTGAGATGACTCAGCAAGTAAATTTGCTTGCTGCACAAGCCTGACAGTCTAAGTTTTATCCCCCAGACCCCAAGGTGGAAGGAAACAACTGTCTCCCCAAATTTGTTCTTTGACCTCCACATACAGGCTGTAGTGCAGCTCTCACTTTCTCTCTCTAATGATAATAATAATAATAAATTAAAAAGAGTTAATCTAAAAAGAGAAACTTTCATGTCATTGGGGTCAAGAAGGAATTTGTTAGTTGGTTTCATTTTTATAAATTAAGTACTCCTTTATAACTGTTTTAAAGTAATGTCTAACAGGCAAATGTGTGGTGACATTTCATTAAATATTCTCTTAGTGGAGGTATTTGGAAGAATGTTTGCTCTGTGACTCTTCCAGGGTATCTCTCTCTAATCACCTCAGACAGAGAGCAATGTCAGACCAAAGAAAGAGTGAACCAATGAGCTTGGTTACAGTTATTTACAAGACAGCTTACCAGCAGCTATACAACTTAGGAAGAGTCTTTGCCCCAAACTTGTACAGCAGTTTATGTATTCTTAAGAAGAGGAGGGACCTCCTGAGCTCTCCCCACTTCCATAAGGGAATGTTACTGGAACTAATCTTTTGAAGGTCTCCTGTGGGTAATTCACAGCTGCTCTGATTTCAAGATTGCAACCCATGACCATGTCATGCCTGAGGACAGAGTTCCACATCAGTGTTACTTTAACTTAAGCTAGGATGAGTTATTTCTGATGAGCTCACAGTTTAAGGTTAGCGTACCAAGGATCTGGGTTGGCTTATAAATCCTACAGCCTTTTTCCATCAAATGTGAATCAACTTCCAGCAAGACTTTGGATCTTACCCAATTTACGCTTAAATTATTTTATTGTAGTGTTGCCCAAATTATCAAAAGTCCAATGACCTTTAAATACTAGCACCTGTGCAAAATGACAGTTTACCTGGACATACAATTTTATTTTGAAAAATGAGGAAAAAGGGGCAGTATACTTTGAATGTTTTAGAAAGAGTGCCAAAACCCTTTATCAACAAAAACCCAATGTACTGATTGCCTAAGTGCTGGAAAATTGGTGGGCAACAAAAAATAAAGTCACCAATATAGTGTCTCATATATGACTCCAGACTGAGCAAATACAAATAGTATGATAAAATAGGATTCTGGAATCTCCTAATCCCATCAATAGACAAATAAAAGCAAATTCTCCATTCACATAAAGCCCGGAAGGACTTCTCTTTTTCAATGAAGAAAACACATAAAATTTATTATATGCTGAAGGCACAGGGTCTAGCCATGAGTCTGCCTGATGGAGATATAAAAGGTTCTAAAAAGACAAGATGAGGTTGAACTTGTGCTTTACATACTTTTTTTTTTCTAAGTATGTGTGTAGGTGTGTATGCCACAGATGTGCAAGTGCTATAATCACACCTTCCCATGCTCTTCAAGGAGTCCAGGCAGGAATCAGTTAGTCTTTCCACCCAATCAGTGTAACCTTAGCTGCATGTGGGGGGAGGGGCAAAGGATATATAAGCTGGGAGGTCACAGGATCTGTATTTAAGTGTGGATTTTATGGTGCAGCAGTAAATGTGGGGCACCCACTCTTCTGTAAACAAACCCCTACCCTATGCTCTGTTAAAAAAATAAAATATTTTTTTTAAAAAAAGACACAGAACCCCAGGTGGAACACAGTGATGTGAAAATGGAAGCAGAGCTTGGAACACTGTTAGAATGAACCAATGGATATGCCTGGTTAGGGAGCTGGAAGGGGCAAGAAAGTGTCTCACTCTTAAAGGCAAGGAAATAGGGCCCCTCAGGACCCCTTGACTGTGGACTTTGAATATTTAGAACTTTGAGAAAATAAATGGCTGTTGTTTTGAGTCACACAGTTTGTACACTTTATTATGGTAGGAAACTAACACAGTACCCATGCCAGCACAGGTTAAAGAAATAATCAATAAAATATTTAAAAAATTATTTATGTGTTTAGGTGTGTACGCCAGAAGTGCCAGTGAAGGCCAGAAGAGGGTGTTGGATCGCCTGGAACTGTAGTTCCAGGCGGTTGTGCCTTCTGTGGGTACTGGGAACAGAACCCAGTCCTCTATAAGAGCAGCAAGTGCTCTTAACCACTGAGCCATCTCTCCATCCCCTGCATGGCTTTCTTAAAATATGTTTACAGGAACAAGTCTGTGGCTGCTCTAGAGGCAGTGAAAAAAATTGGGGAAAGAGGTGAAAAAACCTGACGTTTGTAGTTCATAAACGGCGTAGGGCTCAGGTTGTTCACTGTGGCATCAACAAAAAACTTTCAGTACCGGTTCAGACTAGGCACTTGCTAAACACTCGTAGGACGAATGAAAGAAAATGGTTGGTGGCTGGGTGGTGGCAGTCTGAGAATGTCTGATGAACAAGTCGATCTCTTGGCATCGAAATGTACTCTCCCATTTTTCAGATGTTGTTTTAACCCCAATGTATGAAAGACATTATTTGCTAGATAAGCAAATTCTGAGTTTTAGAATGGGAATAGATAAGCAAATTCTGAGTTTCAGAGAGGGAGTAGATAAGCAAACTTCGAGTTTCAGAGTGGGTATGGAGCCTGCCTTTGGTTCTAAAACGGTCAGACTCTAGACTGGAGACGCTGACAGTTAACAGGTGCACATGCTAAAAATTCACTAAGCCTAGAAGCTTAAAGTATAAAGTGAATTATGTAGAGCTTAAAAGCAAGGAAATTCAAAGGAGGTAACTCTTAACAGATGGATAAACGGGAACTCCAGCACGTCCCGGCCAGCCCGTCACGTCACAGGACAATCACCCCAGCATCAGAGGGGTATCGAACCTCCGGCCCAGGGCGGACCCCCTCTCCCCGGCCCCCCGACGTACACCCCTTCTGCGCAGCCGCAGTGCAGCTCTTGACCGCCACGGCCAGGGGGAAAAAGACCCAGGGAGAAGACGGACAGGGCAGGGCCTGAGCCTACAGGTGCAAGTGAACAGAGCCGGTAGCTCTTGTTACCCAGCCACAGGGTGGCTCGACGTCACTTCCGGCAGGAGGTAGTGCTTCCGGGGGGCGGTGCGGGGAGCTGCTGTCGGGGTGACTTCTGGACGACTGCGTTGCGGGCTGGTCTTCTCTCCGCCTGCTCCAGCTGTCTTCGCTGCGGGTCTCGTCGGGGTCCTCTGCGGGCCTCTGACAGTTGTCGTGTCGCCGCGCGGCCGCCTCCGTCGCGAGGTGGGTGAGGCTCCGCCGGAGCCCATGTTCCCCACGCTGACATCCCCGGTCTGTCGCCGCTTCGCCTGCCGCCATCTTCCCGCCTGGAGCGCGGCGAGGACGCCGCGGGGCTGCGCGGCCAGTGCCTTGCGCGGCCGGCTGGGCAGAGCTGGGTCCAGCTGTGTTTGCGGGGTGCACGGCGGCCTGATACGGGTTCAGATGGTGGTGTGCTCAGCGGTCCGCACAGCCTCCAGGAAGGATGCTGTTGAAGGATGAGGCCTTCACCTCTACTGCGCATTTACGGTTAGCGTATTCGGAAGGCCGCATCCAGCCATAAGTTCAGTGTACCTTTTTAAAAAATAAAACCCTTTTTTCTGAGGGATTGGTCCTTGGTGGTGACGTACGGGAGGGTACTTTTGCAACACTGCCGTCATGCTTGTCATACATGATTTCAGTGCGATGGTTAAAACTTGAAAATGTCCATTGTTCTCTAAGCTGATGATGGTGTCTGAAATATCGAAGTATGGGTTTAAAGCAAGAAATACGAACATATTCTTGGAATTCTGTTGCATTTAAAATTGCATTTATTCACTTAAGTTATTTGTAGATTGTTTTGGGCGAATGGAGGAGGAACGTTTGGAAAATGAATTTGCCGTTAGATGGAGAGGAGGATATGACGTCGTCATTATTTTTTTTCTGAGGCGTTGCAGTGTTTTCTGATTATTTCCACTTTAAAATGGAAGCCTAGAAATGACGTGGGATTTTTTTTTTCCTCATCTATTTTGGACGTTTCAAAAAGTATTTTTATTTTATGTATATGCATGTGGGTAAGTGCATCCGTGTCATGCAGTGCCCGAGGACAGAAGAGGCTGTCTGATCCCCTGGAACTGGAGTTATAGACAATTGTTAGCTGCCATGTGGGTGCTGGGATTTGAACCCTGGACTGCTGCAAGAACAATCAGGTGTTCTTAACTGCTGAGCTATCTCTCCAGCCCTCAACATATTTTTTTTTTACGATCAAGATACAGGACATTGTGAAATAACTGAGCATCAGAAAAGAAAATATGTCTTATTCTTTCTATTTCTATCTTTTTATATTCTAACTATAGTAATTGGCTAATAAATACTTAAAATATGCCTGTTTGTCAACAAAAGTACAAAATTGAATAGTCTAAATTAGTAGGTTTGTGAATTTTCAAAATTTAGCTATGTCAAATAGTTAAGATGTAATGTTCAGGAAATATTTGTTGATTGACTTCCACATAGACCAGTAGTTTTTCTATTTTACACATTGTCTTCTAAACTATTGTGATAGTTTCTAATTGAATCTAAATGTTTTTGATACAGGAAATATGAACGGGAGGGCTGATTTTCGAGAGCCGAATGCAGAAGTTCCAAGACCAATTCCCCGTAACTATCATACTAAGTATTTATTATTAGAAGCACTTTCTATGTAAGGACCTTTTACTTACTTGAGTAACAGGAGCAGCTGAGCTGTAACACTGTGACACACTTCCTGGGTGTGACACCTGTGCAGTCACACAGGGCTTCACACTTACTTTAATGATATGTTGTTGCCATCTTGGAATTGCTAGCTTAGCTGAACAGGGGCCTCATTTTCGTTTAGTACTGGGCCCTTACTGTTTTGAGTAGCAGGTAGTAACAGTGAATTGTTTTTGGAGTCAGAGGTGTTTTAAAAAAAAGTGTTAAGACAGTTGTTCCAGTGCTCTGTTTTTTAAAATGCTTGTCTTTTGTCAGTAGTATCCTAAGCTACATTTTCAGGTTTTTTTTGTGGGTATTTTATTATTTTCCAATTTTCTTCTCTAAAAAGACATAGGGGCTGATTATATTCCAACAGAGGAAGAAAGAAGAGTCTTTGCAGAATGCAACGAGGAAAGCTTCTGGTTCCGATGTAAGTCTTTTTTTATTTGTTTTAAGAATCCTTTTATTTTTTTTTTAAATTTACTTCAGTGTTTGTGGTGTGTGTGCACCTGTGTGTGTACACCTGTGTGTGTGTGTGCATGTGTGTCTATTCGCGTGCGTGCATATGTGAAAGGCCAGGGTCAGTGTCTTTCTCTTGCTCTCTCCATCTTACTTTTTGAGGCAAAGCAGCTCACTGAAGCTGGAGCTTACAGTTTTGGCTAGACTGGCTGGCCAGTGAGCCCCTGCCACCTTCCTTTTCTGCCTCCAGCACTGGGATTATGGGTATGCACTGCCACACCTGATTTCTTAACTTGGGTGCTTTGGATCTGAACTCAGATTCTCAGGCACTTGACTCACTGAGCCATCTCCCTAGCTCCTGCACCTCATTTGTTTTTCTTATCTCTCCTTCCCCACCCCCCCTTCCTTCCACTAGTATCTCACTTTTTGGCATAGGGTTATGGCTAATTAAAGGTTAAGGAAATAGAATTGTACATGTTTTAAAGAAATTATTTCTAGAATTGTTTTTCAAAATCATAAAGCACTTTTGTTAATAATAGCATTTTCTTGGTGTACCTGAATTTTAGAAATCTAATAAGGTTGATAACTATTACCCTCACTTTCGAGATGGAAGAGTTGAGCTTTAGAAATGTTAAGCAAATTAGCTTGTTTTATATTGTACCTATTGAGCCATTGCGCCTGAACTTGAAGCCAGTTCTGTCTGAACCACAATCTTAAGGCTTTAACTCTTACTCGCCTTTACTCTCAGAAAGACTGGTTTGTTCCTATTTTTTGTAGTGAGATGTACCACCAGCTCTTAATTTCTGACTGCAGATCTTAATATCTTACATACAAGATTTTTTTGTGTGTGTGGTCTTTTGTAGCCCTTGCTGGCATGGAACTTACTATGTACCCCCAAAGAGAAAAAAAGTCCCAAGAGAACTAGTAGACCAGAGTAGCCTTGAAGATGTGATTATTTTGCCCATTTCCCAAGTGGTGGGATTATGCACTGCCATGCCTGGCTAAGATAGTATATTGCCTGCATGTATGTAAGTGTACATGTGTGGTGCAGTGCCCATGGAGGACAGAAGAGGGTGTCAGATCCCCTAGAACTGGAGTTATAGATGGTTGTTAGCCACCTGGTAGGTGCTGGGATTTGACTTGGGTCTTCTGCAAGAACAACCAGTGTTCTTAACCACTGAGCCATCTCTCTAGCCCCAAGATTTATTTTTTAAATACAGAGAGCACTGAAAGTTATATACAAAATGTAATTTTTTGTTTTCTTTCAACAAAATCCTGGTGTTGCTCCACCTGAAAACTACAATCCTTTTTAATTGGTGTAAGTTAATTGTAACAAAAAAGCAGGGTGGAATTTTAAAAGGGGGAAGAAGCAGGTAGAAGGTTTGCAGGATGTGACCTCAATATGTACGTATAGAATTGATTTTACTTGGGAGAGTATTGGCTTGTGACTGTTAATCAGAAGAATATGTTAAAGAAATTAGAAACATGTAGAAATATACTAATGGTAATTTTTACATATTTTTGAAGTCTGTAACCTAAATTACTTGTGGTTTAAAACCAGGCTTATTGATCTAAACGTTATTTTCTTTAAGATAGCTTTGTTTTTTCTTTGATCTATGATCAGTTAATCTTAAAGGTGTAATTATTTGCAGAAGTTTAAAATTGTGCCCCTATGCACTGACCAAAAGCCATTCTCAATGTCCAGACATAAAATATCTTTTTGTTACATGTTATATAGTACAATAGTTCTCAGCATCTGGAGTTATTGGCAAGGTGTATGAATTCATGTTTGCATCAGTTACAGATTGTATGGATAATATTTCATATTTATATTACTATTATGTGACTTTTCCTGGGGAAATGTGAAGAAACATCTGTTCACCCCAAATTGGGATAACACTGATAGAACAAAGAAAGAATTCTGTCAAAGTCCAGCTGAGTGAAGCATGGAGCTTATTGAGATTACTTACAGGCGCATGGTTGACTCTTGGGCAAATTGTTGGGGAAAAAACTCACAGCATATCCAACTCATGCATAGTAGGCTGCACTGAATTAGTACCTTTTACAGCTTCTGGGAAAGGAAGGGCTGCTTGAAGGTCATTTGCTGCTGGTCACAGCTGCTCTGATTAAAGATGGCAGTGGTCTTGTTCAACCCAGAGGAAACAGCTACACTGCATGCTTTCTTCTAGCCCTTAGCATTTTTTTCTGTCCCTCTTCTCAGCAATGTTCCCCAAGCATTGGTGGGATGATGAAGGTGTATGATTATTTTTCTGCGCATTGGGCTACTGAGCCACAGCCACAGTTATTCTCAGCAGTTTTATCAGTTATGAGTTTCCACAGTAATCACTGCCACTGTAAAAACAAGTTTCCTTTGAGTATGACTGACAGCAGCAATAATCTACATACATAAACAAATGTTTAGAAGGCAATTTGGGAGGTAATCATATACAGTTAACAAAACAGTAACCATAACCTCTCTGCTGGCAGCCTGTGATTTCCCCAGCCACAAGTTTTTGCCCATTTAAAAATAGCAAACATGGATGTCCTGTGGGACAGGCTTTAAATCAACTAGAAAATAGTTGGTTGAATCCATAATAGTCAATTGCAACATTACTGTAGCAAGCACATCTCTCTTGGGCCTGCTGATAGAGTAATGCGTGAGGTTCGTGGCCACCAGGACTGTTGGCAACAGTTCCTTCCGTCTTCCTGCGTAATGCTGTCTAACAGCATGAACGGAATCCTAGCTAGTAGGGAGAAAATTTCTGGCTTTATGCCAGCTTGGTTTCCTTGTCCTGTCTTCCAGGTTAGGGACTTACCATCTGTGGCATGCAACCAACAGTGGCTGTAGCCTGAATAGTGTCAGGGAGTCCTTTTTTTATAGATATGAGTGTTTGCCTGCTGTGGCATTACACCACCAACCTTATAGTTAGACCAAAAAAAGCCTAATTCTTAAATTTAGTTTTTAAGAGTGTGTCTGAACTCAGAGGACACTTGTTCCTCTAGGTATCTCTTGGAACCATCTGTCCCTTGGTCCCTTGCTGATGGAACTGTCTTGTTTGAACCCTGTCTTTGGAACTGTGTTCCAAGTCCAGCCCCACCCATAATTTTATTCAAAATAGTTCCTCCAGTTTTAATTGGGGAAAGACAAGCTTGGCTCCACCATAATCTTACAGCCCATCGGCCTTTTCAGAACTAGTTCTAGAACATCTCATTTACCCAAGGTTAGGAGTCCTTCCCAGTCTCCACTGTGCAAACAATGGAGATGGGTTTGCTGCAAGTCAGCTTATGATATGTTAATTCTCAAGCATGCTCGCATTCATTCATTGAGGTTGTCAAAGGAAACAATATCTAGTGCCCAGGTCACAAGACACAAGAGCACATGGTTTTGCTGGGGTTAATAAAAGTCATTAAGGCCAGATTCTGTCCATTTATAAAGGTCATTCCTGGGGCTGGAGAGATGGCTCAGCAGTTAAGAGCACTGGCTGTTCTTGCAGAGGACCGGGATGCAGAGGACCGGGATTCAATTCCCAACACCCACATGGCAACTAACAGCTGTCTGTAACTCCACTTCTAGGGGAGGCAACGCCCTCTTTTGACATCCTCAGAGATTGCATGACATGAGTGCACTTACATACATGCAAGCAATACACACATACACATAAAATGAAAATAATAAAATTAAAAGAACTTTTAAAAGTCATTCTCACAGCTTGCATATATGTATGTGTACCATATGTATGCCTGGTTCTCCCAGATGCCAAAAGGGGGTGTTTCATCCCTTGGAACTGGAGTGACAAGAGCCATACCCAGTGTGGGTAACCAAACTCAGGTCCTCTGTAAGAGCAACAAGTGCTCTTAACCACTGAGCCATCTGTGCAGCTCCCCAGGGGGACTTTTTGGTAGAATAACTGCCCAAAAGTTGCCCAGGGGACTTTTCTGTGGTGCAGCTTTTTATGAATCACCAACGCTCCTGTTGACATGCTTTGATGCTACCACTAATCATAAGTTGCCTGTGGGCTTTCCTGATGGTTTGGCTATTTTTTGAGTTCCCTTGCTCCTCTAGAGAGCCCCAGTAAACTTAACTGGTTCACCAAGCTGGACTTGGATGAAATTACTTCTTTGGTATGCAGATTCTATCTGTCTAGGGTGAATAGACATCTTTATACATCTCCTCAGGAAAAGTCATGTGACAAGTGCTTATTTCTAAATGAGACAGTATGATTAGTGATAAGCATAGACTCTGGGCCCACCTTACTATCTGAATGATGTATACTGAATGATGTGAGATTTGGGGCAAGTTTCTATGTCCGTTTCCTTACCTGCATGCACAGTGAGGATGATAGCTACCTGTCTCATGGAATTGTTATGGGAGTTAATTAAATTTTAATTATATAAGTGGTGGTAATCTAGCAAATGTATTCTGATTAATGAACTAGAAGTTTCTGTTGAAAATAGTGAATTTAGAGTAGCATTTTGCACTTGTGAGGAAAGAAGAGCTCAGGGAATTGTAGGAATACTGTATTGGATATGGTTTGGACAGTGATCATAATGCATGATAGGTTTTGTTCATCGCTGCTACTGATTTACCTGAAGAAACAGGTTGTTTGTAAATTGTAAAATAGGTGGCGCATACCTTTAATCCCAGCACTCCAGAGGCAGAGGCAGGTGGATCTCTGTGAGTTCAAGGCCAGCCTGGTCTACATAGTTCCAGGACAGCTGGGGCTACAGGGAGACCCTGTCTCAAAAAGACCAAAAAAAAAAAAAAATAAGTCACATAGTACAGTGGTACTAGGAGTCGGAGAACTTGGGCTCTGATCCCAGTTCAACCACAAACTTACCATCTGTGTTGTTTTTGAGCACTTGAGTTGTCCATTCTGGCTATCAGTTTACTCTGATTAAGATGAAAACTAGATAACCTCTAAAGCCCCTTTCAGTTTTACCATTATCTTTTTGTGCAAGTTGGAAAGAACGTTGGCCTGATGCTAATCCATTATCCCTTTACAGCCCAAGAAGAGGCATATGCATAGTGGTGAATCAAGGAACTAGTACTAGAATCTCCTTAACATGGCCGTTACTCTTTTAATTAAACAGAGAAAGTATTCTCCATTGTAGGGATGGCTGACTAACTCATCGACTTTTATCCTTACATAATTCTTCAGTGCTACGTGTTGCAGTCCATGAACCAAGATGAACTGATGCTGTAATTAAAAGTGATTTGTTCTTTGAAAAACCTTAAATGATAAGACATGAAGTCATTCTAACCAGCCAACATTAAAGAACCATTTTTGCAGCAAAGGTAAAATCTGTTAGCAAGTAGAATAGTAAGGAGGCAGATCTTAGGTGGCAGCAGATTATACCTGATGGCGAAGCTAAAGCCCAATGACAGAGTTAGAAATTTTAAATCGTTAAATTTCTCTAATAATTAAAAATGTCTTAGTTTTGTTTTTAAATTGCCCATGCATAGTTTAGACAAAGGTTGAACAAACTACAGCCCATGGACCAAATGTGGTTTTTGTATGCAATATGTTAAAAATTATTTTACACTTTTAAGTAACTGAGGGGAAAAACCCTGTTTTATTTCATGGAATGTTATTTTTTCCATGCAAATTACATGGAATTAGTATTTTATATCTATAAATAACATTTTATTAGAACAAAGCTTAAAACGGCACTTAACTAGTTGGGATAAAGATTCTAAAGTATGCTTGCCAACCTTTGGTCTGGAACAGCAATGTCCAGTGTGGTATTCACCAGCCACACAGAGCTATTTGAATTTAAAGTAATTTATGGTAAAAGTCAAACATAGAGGACATATTTAAGTTCTTGACAAGTAACAGCATGTTAAGTATTATCTAACATGGAAGCTCACTAGAGACTCAGAGCCAGGGTTTTTATTGGGGATTGATCACAAAGGCACCTTCAGCCTATCTAGTACTGAAATTCTAGATGCCCAGATGGAAAGCAGATATTCAGTATGAGCTATATTTGTACAAACAAGTGATTGCTTATTTAGGTAAAGTTATTCCCAGTCTAGGGAACTTTCTTTGTCAATTACTAGATCTAGTTGTTTGCCAGGCTAGTCAGTCAAGGACCAACTCCCATAATTGCAAAAAATTTGTGGTGCTGATATAAAGATTAATAGCAGTTTTTAATTTATGTCATTTATAATTATGGGTTAATATGCATATATATATACATTTTCATAAGGTTTTAAGGAACCTTTAAAATACATGTATTCTTTCAGCTACCTTGTGAAACATATAATTTGTATTTTGGTTCACTGTGTAATATAGTGCTTAAAAGTTTGGGCTCTGATATCAGATTTCATTAAAATTATAAGACTAGATACTGAATTAAGTATATGGTTTTGATTGAGTAGGGGGTCTTAACATCTCTGAGCTTCAGTTTCCTGATTTTTAAATTGGTGGTGGTAATATTACCTACCTCAGAAAGATGTGATAAGAGTAAATGAGAAATTGATGTAAGGTACTTAGGTTGCTTGGAATTCAGTTATCACTCAGCACTGAGTGACTTTCTTGCTTGTAAAGCACTTCTGTATCATTACTCTCCCCCTTTTACTTCAGAAGTAACGTCTGGTCATTTTATTTTGTTGTTAGTTGATTGTATTAATGAATTGCTATTTAGAATCTAAATCTAGATGTTTCTTCAATTATGTTATTTAATACTTTACAATATTAAAATGTTCCTTAATATTTTTCAGTATGAGTTTGCACAGTACAGCTTTTAGAAATCCTAGTTGTTCAGTTTGCATCTTGATGGTTTTACTGTTACTGATAATCATTTATCTCCTAGTGAGCTCAAGACAGAATGTTTTTCCTTCTGTTGATAAAGACAAGTTCTTTTTCTTCCTACAGCTGTGCCTTTGGCTGCCACAAGTATGTTGATTACTCAAGGATTAATTAGTAAAGGTAACTGTTTTTTTAATTTATTTAGCATTTTTGACATCTTTTGTCTTGTTTTCCTGATTTTTAAATAAAGAATGATAATATATCTTACTAAGCATAAACATTGATAAATTTATATAGTGTTAGAAGAGTTTTATCTCCATGGACCTACTCATTTGATTATATTGAGTATTTAACAACTGGGCTGTAGCTTAGTTTTAAAGTGCCTGCTTAGCTTGCAGGAAGCCTTAGGTCCTTTTTGAAAAATATTTACTATTTTTTGTATATGAGTGTATTCCCTGCATGTATGTAAGTACATCCGTGTTGTGCAATGCCTGCAGAGGTCAAAAGAGGGTGTTGGATTCCCCTGAAACTGGAGTTAGGGTGGTTGTTAGCCACCATGTGGATGCTAGGAGTGGAACTGGGTCCTCTACAAGAGCAGTGGGTGCTTTATTTTAAACTCTGAGCCATCTCTTCAGCCCCGTGAAGCCTTAGATTTGATCCCTAGCACTGAGCTAAAAAACCTGGATGTGTGGCTCATGCTTGTTATCCTCGCACTTGGGAAGTAAATGCCATAGGATGAGGTCATTCTTGGCTGCATAGTGAATTCTAGGCCAGCCTGGACTAATTTGAGACGCTTAAACAAAAACCAAACAATGAAGCAAAAAATTGGTAGTATCATTAACGGTCTACAGGAGTAGGAAAGTACCTTAAAACTTGTGGATAGTTTATAGTAATGCAGCAGATTGGATATGGTGGCTAAACTGTATCATTCTTACTTAGAAGATTGTTAGAAATGCACATTTGGGGGCTTGAGACCAGACATGGGTCAGAATATCTAGATCTGTTTAAACAGGTTTAAGGTGTTTCATATGTACTGGCTTAAAGACCAGTAGTTTCTTGAACAAGCTAGTCTTTTCATCTAGGAGAATAGATGGGGATGAGTTAACATTTTTTGAAAAATTAGAAACTGGAAGATCTGGTAGGTAATCTAAAGTGTCATTCCTCAGGCTCTGCCCAACCTGGGTTTTTTGTTTGTTTGGTTTTTTTTTTTGTAAGATTTATTTTTATTGGCTCAATGGTTAAGAATACTGACTGTTCTTGCATAAGACCCGGTTCAAATCCCTGCACCTACATGGCAACTAACAGCTGTTTGTAACTTGAGTTCCAGGGAGTCCAACACCCTCTTCTGACCTCTGCAGACATTGCACGACACAGGTGCACTTACATACATGTAGGCAATACATGCATACACATAAAAATATAAGGATAATAAATAAATGTTTTTAGAAAGATTTATTTTTATCGTTTACGTATGAGCGTATCCATGTGTGTAAGCCCTTAGAGGCTATAAAAGGGTGTTGGGTGGAGCTAAAGTTACAGGGAGTTGTAAGCCACTTGACATAGATGCTGGGAATTGAATTTAGGTTCTTTGGAAGAATAGCAAGTTTCCACTGAGCCATGTCTGCAGCCTCCCACCAGCAAGCCCCAGCTCTGGGAATACACATGTCACCTCCATGCCCAGTTTTTTTACTTGGTTTCTAAGAATCAGACTGAGGTCCTCAGGCTTACAAGACTAAGTTCTTTAATACTTAGTCTGAATTGTTTCCGCAGCCATAGGAATCTATTTTTATTTCCTGTAGCCCCACCTCACCTGGAACTTGCTTTGTAGACCAGACTGGCCTTTACAGCAGTGTCTGTGTTTAGTTGTACAACCAGCAGAGTTGCTTATTAAATTGACTTTTGAACTATCTGTCTGTTTGGTAGCCTATACCTGGAAAGAATTCCAGAGAGCAGTATAATGTTACGATGATCCCCAAGCATCTTAAAAACTTGTTCTTATAATTAACTAGCTCCTCTGTAAATGTGAATATGATAGGATGTTTTTAACTTTTTAAAAATAATTATTGAGGGGCTGGAGAGATGGCTCAGTGGTTAAGAGTACCTGCTGTTCTTACAGAGGGATCAGATTTGGTTCCCAGCATCTACTTAGTTACTGATAACTGTTGGTAACCCCTGCATAGTGCACTTACATACGTGCAAGCAAAACACCCACATAAAAATAATAAAACATTTGAAAAATTATAATTAAGGGACTGGAGAGATGGCTCAGTGGTTAAGAGCACTGGCTGCTGTTGCAGAAGACCTGGGTTTGGTTCCCAGCACTCACTGGCAGCTAACAACTATCTGTAACTCCAATTCCAGGGGCTCTGATGCCCTTTTTTGACCTTGGTGGGCATTGCACGTATGTAGTACACTTGCATACAAGCAAAACACCCATAAAATAAATCCAATTTTTAAAAAAATTATTAAAAGGCAAAAAATCTTTTTAAAAATACTTTATTATTTTTATTTTATGTGTATGTGTGTGAGTGTATTGCTTGCATGTGTCTAAGTGCACTCAGGTGTGCAATGCCCACAGAGGTTAGAAGAAGGTGTCAAATCCCCTGGAACTGGAGTTACAGATGGTTGTTAGCTGCCATGTGGGTGCTGGGTCCTCTGTGAGAGAAGTCAGTGCTCCTAACCGCTGAGTTACCTCTTCAACCCTAAAAGGCAAAAAATCTTATGTAGTTCAGAGTGGCCTTAAACATACTGTGTAGCTAAGAATCACCTTGAACTTCTAATCCTCATGCCGCTAACCTTCCAAATGTGGGATTGCAGGTGTGCACCACCATGCCCTGTTTATCTGGTGCTGGGAATCAAACCCAAAGCTCCATGCATGATAGACAAGCACTCTACCGTACTGAATTACATCCCAACCCTATTTTAGCATGTTTACATTAGCAGTGTGAACCATATAAATGGTAATCTTTAAGAATTATTTACTTATTTAGATCTATTTAAATATGTATGCGTATTTTGCCTGCATGTATGTAAGTAAGCCTGCAGATGCCAGAAGAGGGAATCTGGTCCCCTTGAAACTGAAGTTACAGTCAGTTGTTAACCACCATATGGGTGCTGGGAACAGAACCCCTATCTTCTGAAAGAGCAGCCAATGTCTTTAGCCCCAGTAGATAGTAATCTTGACAAAAACTAGTTTTTTATTTATTATTATTATTTTATGTGTGTGTTTTGCTGTATGTGTGTGTTTACCCATGCATGCAATGCCTGTGGAGGCCAGAAGAGGGCATTGGATGCCCTGGCACTGGAGTTACATGGATGGTTGTTAGCCTCCATGTAGTTGCTGAGAGCCAAACTCCTTTGTAAGAGCAGCCAGTGCTGGTAGCCACTTTCCAACCCCAAAAGCTAGGGTTTTGTTGTTTTTTTTTTTTAATCTTTCTGAGACAGGGTCTCTCTGTAGCCCCAGCTGTCCTGGAACTCACTATGTAGACCAGGGTGGCCTTGAAAACTCACAGAGATCCGCCTGCCTCTGCCTCCCGAGTGCTGGGATTAAAGGCATGCGCCACCACACCCGGCCCAAAAGCTAGTTTTTAAAAGTAGGTTTTGTTTGTGTTGTTTTGTTTTAACTGTTTATATGGTCATGGAAAAAGAAATAGTTTGAGGGCTGGGGGTGTAGCTCAGTGGTAGAGTACTTGCCTAGTGTGTATGAGTTCTTGGGTTCGATCTCTGTTACAGTTTATAAAATGGATTTGGAGGGACTTGGAAGATGGCTCAGTAGGTAAAGTGCTTGCTGTGTAACTTGAGGAACTGAGTTTGAATCCCAGAGCCCATGTGAAGCTGGGAACTGTAGTGCATGTCTGTAATACCAGGTGAGATGGGAGGCAGAGGCAGGAGAGTCTCTGGAAGCTCACGGGCCAGCTAGCCTGATATACACAGGGGCAAATAACAAAAGAGAAGCCCTTTCTCAAGGTAGAGGCAAGGACCGACAAGGTTTTCCTCTGGTCCCTATACGCATGCATGCCAGTGCCCAAGCTTGCACTAACGTGCGTACATATGCACAAATGGATTTGGATAGAAATGAAAGGATTTGAGGAGCAGAATAAGAAATTATTTGAAGAACCTCTAAACAGTTCATTGCATTTCAGTTCATTAGGATTGAGTTTGTATTAAAAAAAAAAAAAAAGTAAGCACTGGTAGTAGTTCACCTGAAGAAACAGATATTGAGGCAAGTAGAAATTAAAATTTTTTTTTGTTTTAATTTTATGTGTATGAGTGCATCCCTGTTGCGCAGTGCCCACGGAGGTCAGGAGAGTGCTTGGATTCCCTAAAACTGGAATTGTGGGTGGTTAGCTGCCATGAGGGTGCTGGGATTTGAACCTGGATCGTCTGCAAGAGCAGCCAGTCCTCTTAACCACTGGGCCATCTCTGCAGCCTTGCAGTAGAAAATTTAAATACCTGAAGTACTAAATTGTGAAATATTCAAAGGAGTTGTAAATGTTCTGTTGGACCGCTATAATCAAGGAACTTTTTAAAGAAGTGGCTTTCGAGAGATGAGCAAGATGTAGGTTAAAAGAGAAGGAAGGAAATATCAGGAATTGACTGTTTAAAGAATTACTCTTGTTATATAGAAACATTTTTTTAGTCTATTGATTGTAAAGTGATCTTTATACATTCATCTGTTTAGTAGTCTGTAGATTTTTTGCATTTAAAAATATTTTCTAGGTTGGGGGGTGGTGGTCATGAACACCTCTAGTCCCAGCGCTTGGGAAGCAGAGGCAGGTGGATCTCTGTGTGTTCAAGGCCAGCCTGGTCTACAAAGTGAATTCCAGGCCAGCTGGGACTGCAGAGAGAACCTGTCTCAAAAAGACCGAAAAAAAAAAAAAACACCAAAAAATTTTCTGTCAGGGCTAGAAAGATGACTCAGCAATTAAGAAGATTGGCTATTTTTGCAGAAGACCCAGGTTCGAGTCCCAGCACATACGTGGCAGATAACAACCATCCACGACTCCTGTTCCAGGGATCCGAGCCCTCTTCTCACCTCTGTGGGCACTGCATGACATGGATGCACTTAGACACATGCAGGCAATATACTCATACACATAAAATAAAAATAAATTTTCTGTTGGCTCTGAATTCACTTGTTTCTTAAATAGCTTACAGTTTTCTAGGGCTAAAAAGAGTTAATGTTAACACAATATTTGAACATAGTCTAAATTGATTTTTCCTTCTCTTAACTTTGTTGCTCAGAAGTACTTAACTCTTTTTTTAGGAATCCTTTCAAGTCATCCCAAATATGGTTCCATCCCTAAACTTATATGTAAGTATGAACTGCTCTGTATTTTTCTTACTCTTTTTATGTAAATAAAATTATTTTAATAAAATGTTTTGACTTACGTTAGTTATATACTTATATGTTCTCATAAAGCAAGTTGTTTAAGCTCTTCATTAAATGGACTACTTGGCTATCTCAGCATAAAAAATCCTGGATTACTTAACAGACTCTTTCTCCCCCTTTTGTAGTGTAAAGTAACTTAATTTGACATTACTTTATAAATACATAGTATTTGAAAACAAATTTTTCATCTGTGTATAATGAAATAAAGTCATGTAGATATTCTGATTAATCCAAGTAATTTTGTGTAGAATCAGGCTTAATTCAAATTTTTTCTTTAATTTACATTTTTCATTATGGCTAACAAAAGAAGCTAAATAGCTCTTGAAAAAGCACATGAAACTTTAAAGTCAGAGTTATTTCTCTTTTGTTCTGGAAATGTAATGTAATGTTATATTTAGGTTGGACTTTATAATACATTATTTTTATTAAATATTTATTTTTATTTTATGTGTATGCATGTATTGCTTGCATGTAAGTACACCTGGGTCATGCAGTGCCCATGGAGGTCTGAAGAAAGCATCATTTTCCCTGGAACTGGAGTTAGGGACGGTTGTTAGCGGCCATGTGGGTGCTGGGATTCAAACCTGGGTCCTTTGCAAGACAGCCAGTGCCCTTAACTGCTGAGCCCTCTCTCCAGCTCCCTGTAATTCATTATTTTTATGAAACTGTTGTACCTAATTTCATTTTTAATTTTGTGAAATTGATTGAGCATAGCATGATTCCTATTTTACAGGAAAATAAATAACTTAAAGCCCTGCGATGAGGCCTGCAGACTGCTTTGGTTGCTTATCTGTTCCTCTTTCCATATTCTCTCATGGTCTGTAAAGTAACTAGTATATTAGAGGTGATTGATGTTACTGCAACTTCTCTTTGACTCACTTTCTTTAGGGAAAGTGAATTATATCTGTAGAATTTTCTGTAAACTCTGAGCTTGATTTAATGAATCTTTACAATTATTTCAGGTAATCTTGGTTTTTCTAAAACCTAAGAGAGAGTTAGAAATACAGTTTTTAAAAAATACTGTTTCAGAAAAGATTTTTGTCTAAAAAAGGTCCATTCAGTCACACTTTTTTGTTTATGTTTATTTGATTTTATAAATAAGTTGCTTGTATCATGGGATACTTTGCTGGAAAGCTTTCTTATGTGAAAACATGCCAAGAAAAGTTCAAGAATCTTGAAAACTCCCCTCTTGGAGAAGCTTTGCGATCAGGACAAGCACGGCGATCCTCACCTGGGTAGGAGATTTTGATCTTCATGGCTCAATGGTTCTGGTTTGTTTGAGACAACTAGATGTCAGAATGCAGGCGGGAAACACTGCTTAAGGGCCTAGGCCTAATGTGGTTTGCTTGAAAAGGTGGAACAAACTTAGCTGTCTTTGTTTTAAGCACAGAGTTCACCTTATTAAGACTACACATCCCAAAATAAAGGTTTTTTTTTCTTGTTTTAATTAGGCAGACATGTTTGGTTTATTGTATCTTGGACTTATTTTGGTCTTCCAAATTTTGTCAATCCTTTCTCAACAGAAAACCACTTTTTTATTGTTTATATTGTCTAAAGTACTGGACACCTAAACGGATCAGAAATTGTCTATTTAATTTTTTCTCAAATATAGTACATTTGTTTTGATTATGTCATACCAATAATCAGGTAATTCTTGAGTAAATATTTCAAAAGTATGTTAGTACCTGATTAAATTTTTAGTATATATGGTACCTGAATAAATTTCTAATATGAATTGGTGTAAATATTTTGAGGTTTTTGTTTTATTTCTTAGCTAAAGCTTGTAAATCAGATAAAAATGAAGAGCAAAAACTGTAGGCACCAAGTTGTTTACAACTTTAAAAATAAAAAATTATATATGCATAAAATAGTCTCTAAAGAGAAGTATTTACCTATAAAAATATTGGAAGTGGTTAGTAATAATGGTTGTGATATATCAGATTTTATTGTTTTATACAAACTTCCTACATCATTTTATACAAATTTTGAGGTTTTTATTATTTAAGAGAAAATCTTTAAAAAAGAAAAGAACACCTGGCATGGTGGCACATGCCTTTAATCCCAGCACTCGGGAGGTAGAGGCAGGTGGATCTTTATGAGTTCAAGGCTAGCCTGGTCTACCTAGTAAGTTCCAGTCCAGCTGGGGCTACAGGGAGACCCTGTCTCAAAAAGATCCACCCCCCCCAAAAAAAAAATAAAACACCAATAAGGGTTGGGGGGGCAACCTTTAAAATGTTAGCATAGTTTGGTGGCACATACTTGCTGTCCCTAGCACTTGGAAAGTTGAAGTAGGAGAATTGAATCTGAGAGGAGCCTGCATCCCCTTACATATTTAGGCCCTGTCTTGAAACAAAACACTTGAAATGTTAAAAAATTTCAAACTTCTGCAGGGCCTAGTGGCGCGCTTTGGTCCCAGCACTCAGGAGGCAGAAGCAGGTGGATCTCAGTGAGTTCAAGGCCGGCCTGGTCTACATAGTGAGTTGGGGCTACAGAGAGACCCTGTCTCAAAAAGACCAAAAAAAAAAATCAAACTTCTAAATCAAGTAAAGCAATGTTTAATCCATTGCTGGTTTTCTTCAGACTATTATTTGGATTTTGTATTGTATAGAATATATAAATATTTGTCTGAATAGGTAGATAAGTAAGGCCTTTAAATAAACTGGTAAATTATTTCACAGTGGCAAGCAATGTAAAGTTGTTACAGTCTGGGATCCACAAATGCCCCAAACAGACAAACGGACAGGTGACTCTGGAGAAAGAAAGAAAGATTTATTATGGCGGGCTACACTCTTTCCTAGAGGATCCAAGTGCTGCACCGAGCCTAAGCACTCTAGCTCTTTTTATATTGGTCGTGTTGCTAGGCAAGCAAGCAGAATACAGAAGCCAATCATTGAGCGTTAAGCTTGAGCAAACATTATCAAGGAAATACACAAGAAGATACAGTTTTCCATCCAAACCCATCTGCACGGAACCAGCTTCCTCCTCTTTCATAAATAGACGTTATCAATCTTACTGTTATTCTACATTGACTTTACCAGTCACAAAGTTCCCTCTAGGGAGATTTTGTTGTATAGCAATTTTATCTTAGGAACCTCTAAATGTTGCGGGATACTTTTTGTATAGAGAAACTATAACCAGGAGTGAAAAATTAGGCTCCCAAGCATACAGGTGGAGAGTCCCCTAAATAATTTCTATTCTATTAAGCAACAATTACTATTTTGCAGAAGCAAGCCAAGCATAACTTACAGAAGCCATAAATCAGCAGGATGCTCTGATCTGTTCCCCAGACAACCAGGGTCCAGCTGGCATGTGTTCCCATACCTTGGGCTAACTGCCTGATAATTTCAGAGAATAGAGTCAGCCTAAACTTTGACATGGTATAGCTGTGGTCAAGAAGGTGCCCTATCATAAAGTGTATGAGAAGATAGTATTACCTGTATCTACTTCAGCTAGTTAGTGATTGTATAGACCATGGCTGTGGAAATACTTTAATATGGAAATTGGACATGTCTATTGAAATTAGACCTGATCTAAAGGACTTTTTTAAGAAAGACTTTTAGTATATATTAAAATTATTTCTGTAGCCAAATACTTAGAAAATTGGATATATATTTTCTATTTTCCTTTATTGAATGACAACATCCATGTATTTGCTTTTGAGGTAAAGAGTCTCACTGTATAGCCCAGTCTGGCCTCAGTGTTGGGATCCTCCCACCTCAGCCTCTCTAGTGCTGGAATTGTGGGTGTTCACCCCTTGTTTGGCTAGTGACAACTTTCAAGATGTCAGGATATGTTTTGAGTGCTTTTATAGCAGAAACAGACTTCATTTGACTGCTTATAAATAACAAAATTTATGTTTATTTTAGAAATTTATATCTTATTTTCCTATCTTAATAGTTTTTAAGGCAGTGACTCATTGTTTTTATATAATATGGTGTTCTTTTACAGGCACTATGCTCAAAAGTCAAAATATGACTCAAATATGAGTGGTCAGTCCTCTTTTGTGACAGCTCCTGCAGCAGATAACATAGAAAAGGACGAGTTTCCTCGTTATGAGCCAATTCCATTCAGTGCTTCTATGAATGAATCCACTCCTACTGGTATTACTGATCATATTGCCCAAGGTAGAAACTTCTCTTGAAATGAATTTCAGCATTTTATGGTCCAACGTATGTATAAACTTTATTTGATCATCTTTTCTGCTGGGTATCACTTCTGTGTTCTGCCATCTGCCATTAACCTAAATTCATCCATCTGCCTAGTTCAGCATGTTTGTTCTGGTCATTGGTTTCTTCATTCCTCCAGCAATCTTTGAAGACCAGTAGATGCCAGGTACTCTTGTTAGGTATGGACGAAGAAAAGGTGAATAAGGCTTGGTTCTTGTTCTAGAGAAACTTTGGGTTTGTTAGAAGGTACAGAAACACACTGATAAATTACACATTGTCCCAGTAATTGAATGTGTTCATATATTTGATGGAATAGCAAAAGAGTGATAAACTGTGGCTTGGCAGTGGAGGCTTCAGGAAGGCCTAGGTTATGTTTGATAGGTTGGTCTTAAAAGGTTTCAGCTTTTTTGTCCTATGTTATTGTAAGAAAAAAGTTGGACCTGTCTTACAGAACTGTTGTCAAGTGAGGAAATCCATGTGAAAATGTATTTGTGCAAATACTAGGTTCACAGAAATAACTTTAGATAAGGCCAGGATTTAAATCATGTTTAATATTTGCTGTGTGATTGTATAATTACTGTCATCAGCAAGTAGCTATCATCCATTCATCTTGAATGGAGATGGTAATATAATGCTGGCAAACAATAGACTGAACAAATGTTAGATTCCTTCCTTTCATTCTGTTCTGCAGTGAGAAGTGGGGAGTTACAAATGGGAAGTAATAAAAGACTGTACTACTTCCCTTTTTTGTTTTGATCTTTGTTGTTTTTTGAGACAGGTTCTCTTTTTTTGAGATAGGGTCTCCCTGTAGCCCCAGCTGGCCTGGAACTCACAAAGATCCTCCTGCCTTTGCCTCCTGAGTGCTGGGCTTAGTGTGTGCCACCATGCCCAGCAAATCAGAAGCTTTTTTAAAGTTAGGACCTAAACATATTTGCCAGCAAACCCTGTTGTGGTCTTTATTTAGTGGCAGTGATTTTTTCCCCCCTATATTTTGCCTAGAGAACTATTGATGTGTACTTACTGAAACTACTTGCTAAGTGTACGTTGGGAACAGCTGGGGATTTGGCTTCTTTTTTTTTTTTTTTTTTTTTTAAGATGAGAGATTTGAGTTTGCATACAGGTTAAAGAGAAGGGGAGAGGATGCAGAGGAAAAAGAGAAACTGATTATAATTTAAGCAGTGTTTGAGAAGACTCTGAAATGCAGGTACCTCAGTAGGTCAGAATATAAAGTATCTACTAGCCAAATGTGGCTTGATAATTAATTAAAATGAAATGAAAAGTTGAATTTCTCTGCTTTGGCAGCATTTCAGTTGCTCAGTAGCAGCCGTGCATGCTAGTGGCTTCTATGGTTGGGATCAGAGATGTGAGCTTAGAACAGGAAAGGGTAGTTAGAGAAGCTAAGTCCTTATCTTATCTCTGAAGGCAGCTCTTCTTGTCCTGGCTGTGTTTCATTTTTCTAGTCAAATTCAGATCCATTCTTCTCTTCTCTCTGTGCACCAACTCTTTCTGCAGTGACTTGCATCCTTCATAGCATTTTCAGCAGCAACTTCCATGCTCTTAAAATTTGTTTCCCACATGAAAAAGCAAGCGAACAAGAATCCCTTTGGTATCTATCCCACAAGCAACAGACCCATATTTCATAGGATTTTAGTACCCTCCACAGCAGCCAGCCATGCGCCCACTTCTGTTTGTCTGCTCTTCCTGCTCTTTCATCTCCCCAGCCTCACAAGTCAAACTTGACACTTAGTGCCCTACATTGATCCCCAGTGGTTTCCTGTTTTGACTCCCCCATGCTGCCCTCCCTTTCCAGGGTGCTGCCTTTTGTTGGAGTTTTGTTTGTCCACTTTTTAGTTTTTTCCAGAATTCCAAAGAGGAAGTGGAAAGCACTAAGACTTGCCATAGTTTTTACAGTTCAATTTAAGCAGTGCTGTTACACATTTTCTTATTCCTTCCAGCTCTAAATAACTTTCACAAAGCAGTCAATCCATTTCTCTGCAGTGCAGGATATATTCCTTTAACTTGTAAGTGTAGAAAATTTTTGTAATCTTCTGTGTGATTTATGCTTTCATTTATCACAGGACTTAGAACAAATTTTTTCTTTTGCATAAGAACTTAGACCTGGAAGGAATTCTAGAGATCCTTTATTCATATTCTTTCATGGAAAAACCAGGATTCAGAGAAGCTTAGTGATTTGCCCAAGGACTTTAGCTGGTTGCTAGGGAGAGCACGGATACGGACCTAGGGTTCCTGAAAAGGCATAGGACCTCTATTGGTATATTTAAAATAATCTGTTGGGACGAATCAGTGAGTTCAGTGGCTACTTGCTATTAATGTAACACAAAGTGAAAGATTGTTTTTCTTTATGTTCTTATCCAGAAAAAGATGAGTTTTTGATGATTGCTATTTTAGATTGAATTAGAAATTGAAGTCTTGTTTTGTCAGTACACATTCACCAAAATAAAGGATTAGAGTTGAAAACATTTGATAAATATGATACTTGGAGAAATCTGATTTTTTTGCTGTGAGTTCTAAATAAATATGATTTGTAAAAATGGACTAAACATTTAATGTATTATTAAAATGACCTACCTAGTTTGTATATTTTACTGGAAAGTACTTTTGATGTGGTGTCTAAAACTTTGTAAGTACTCCCCGAATGTTATCAGTTTCTTTTGAAATGTTCATATGGCCTTTTTGCTATTTATATACTTAAACTGTATTGAGTATTTGTGTCGTTAATGTTAAAAAGAGACCACTTTGTTATTGTTTTCACAGTATTTGACTCTGCTATTGCTCACACTTTATCTTTGAGAGAGAGAAGAATAAATGTAGCTTCCTAAGCTGAGGAGCTGACACTTTCTTCCACCTCAGTGTTATGTGTTGGACTAGTGAAAATCATGCCTGTTCTGGTTAAAGACTATGTTTCATACTATTGAATAGTTATTTCAAATATTTTTGTTTAAATACCATAAACATGGTGAATTAATTTTGTTTAGTTTTTGGAGACAGGCCCTAGCTGACCTGAAACTCACTATATAGACAAGGCCAGCCTCAATCTCACAGAGATCCGCCAGCCATTGCCTCTCGAGTGCTAGGATTAAAGGTATGAGTCACCATACCCAGCTTGTAAATTTTTAAGTAATATATAGCCATAGAAATATTAATAAGATTTACTGTCAAGTTTTGTTTAGCTGCCAGTAGACTCTTTAATGCCATACATAGTTTAAATAACATTGACATTTGAATTAGTATAAGTTATACTGTTAGATCTTACAATAGCTATTATGTTTCTGGCCATAGTTTAATTTCTAAAATGTCTTATATTAATTTTAAATTTTAGAAATAAAAGTTTGAAAGTATAAGGAGGAAGAGACTGTACTTTAGTAATCTTGGAAAAAGTATAGTACCTTTGGAATGGTGGTAATAATTTGATCCTTTATTTCACTTTCCTGTTTCAGTTTTAGGTAAAAAGCATTTGTAAAAATTTTCAGATCCTTGTACCACCACTTATTAACTGTTTGTGTTTTAGGACCTGATCCCAACTTTGAAGAAAGTCCTAAGAGAAAGAGTATTACATATGAGGAATTGAGGAGTAAGAACAGAGAGTCCTATGAAGTAACTTTAACACAAAAGAGTGACCCCTCAGTAAGGCCCATGCAGGAAAGAGTGCCCAAAAAAGAAGGTATGATAGTTGAGTCTGAATTGTAAACTCTTTAGGATTGGAAACTGAACGTTTAAGCATTAGCTTAAAGCGCTCACTATGTTAATGTGTGCTTTCACTCTTCAAGCTGTACCAAAATAAATTTTTTAAAAAGAATGGGCTGGAGAAATGGGTCAGTGATTACGAGTGTTTGCTGCTCTTGCAAAGGACACGAGTTCAGTTCCCAGCACCATGTCAGGTGACAGTCACCTATATCTCCAGCTCTAGGGTGATCCAACACCTCTGGCCTCTTCAGGCAGACACATGCACATATCACCCCCCCACACACACACAATTAAAAACTGAATAGTTATTTCATAGTTATCATTTGCCCTATTTTTAAGGATGTTCAAAGGCCATTTGTGTTAGAAAATAATGAAGTCTAAATAGTAAGACACAGACAGGGAGGCTGGTTTTATAATGCAGTGTAGGAGTTTTAACTGTTTTTCCCTTATGGAAGTCATGTTAGGAAATGCAGTCTTTTTCCTAACAGTTTAAAATTTAAATCTCTTTGGGACAGTGTGCTGCATCTCTTGCACATTTAGGTTTGCTGAGCAAACGTAGTAACTGGCCTTCAGTGACACTTTTGGCAAAATTACGAAGTCATGATTGAGTATTGAAGCTGCTTTTCTTGAATGTCTGTGCAATTAAGAGTTACATGCCAGGAGCTGCAGAGATGGCCCAGCGGTTAAGAGCACTGACTGCTCTTGCAGAGGACCCGGGTTCAATTCACAGCACCCACATGGCGGCTACAAACCATCCTTAACGCCAGTTCCAGGGGAATCCGAAGCCCTCTTCTGACCTCTGCGGCATTGCACGACCCAGGTGTACTCACATACATGCAGGCAATACACTCATACACATAAAAATATATATAAAGGAGTTACATGCCTTACAGATCAGCATTTAGGGCATTTCAAGAGGAGAAATTTGACTTCTTCCTCTAGAATAAATAATTTTTAAGTTATAATTTAAATCTCTTTGGGACAGCCATTTGTAACTTAACAACACTTACTGAGTTTTTGTCATTAAAGCATTTGACATGGACTCCATCAGCTAGTGGCCGTTACCCTGTGATATTGATACTTTGTTCTGCTGGTTTACCAGGATCCAGACTGTAAGCTCCAGGAGGGCAGGAAGTTGTGTTTTCATTTCTGTAATCTTTTCTAAAAATTTCTATACCATAATACTTATGCTGCTGTGTTATTTTTATTGTACTTTTTTCAGTCTGAGGCTCTGAGCAGAGTGTTTTAATTGTCCTTTTGTAGTAACAGAGGCTAGAGAAAGGAAATCTGGCATGCCTTCAGCATTTGTTGTATTTTGACATGTAGCTTTAACTGAACATTCCTGAAGTTAGTATGACACAGTAGTGAAAAACTGAACTTTTGGGGGGTTTTTTGTTTATATTTATACATTAAACACATTTTATTATTAGAGCAATGTCACTACATATTGTGTGTTCTCGAAAACTACCATATAGTCATGATGGACTAAGACAAGACATGGGCTAAGTGTGAGGAAAAGGGGTATGTAATGAATTAGTGTAGTA